AGCAAATTTTTCATCTTCAGTCCACTATTTTAATGGAACAGGGAAATGATCACACCAGGGAGTGAATTCAACAGGGTTCTTCATATTGGCTACCTTACTAGGAAGCTTCTATCACAGTAATACCTTAATTTCCTAGCATATAATTAATTCAGACCAGATTAATCTAGTACATATACAGTCATTTATCACTTAAAATGTTTCAGTCAAATGAGACCACATAAGGGATGGTGGTCCCAATGGGCTATAGCATATAGTCTGGATAGGTAGTAACTTATATCATGTAGGTTGCAGAACTACACTCTGATGTTTAATTGCCTAATGATGCATTTCTCAGAACTAATTCCTGTCATTAAGCCAAGTGTGACAGTACTATTCTCACATATATATTTCATCATCTTAAGCTTGCTGGTAAGTTTTTTGAAGGGAGATAGGACCAAACATGTGTGGAATGTGAGGCACTAAGATATTAAATGACTTATCAAGATCTAGGTCTTCTGATTCCCAGGCTTAAGTCCTTCTTTTACCATTGTATTTTCTCAAAAAATACTACAAATACTTGGATGGTTTTAAAACTCCACAGTAGAATATTGTAAGCTTAGATAAGTCCTTCATGAGTTTTCAAAAAGTTATTTTTAATCATGGTAAATAACACATAATATATAAAATTTATCAATTTGACCATTTTTAAGTTACATTTAAGTGGCATTAAGTATATATCCTTGTTGTTAGGCAACCATCAACAATGCCCATTCACAGAATTGTTTTTGTTTTATAAGCCTGAAACTCCTTACCCATCAATGACTAACTCCTCATTACCCCTCTTCCCAGTGCCTGGTAACCACCACTCACTCAACTTACTGTCTCTATGAATGTGATCACTACAGGAGCCTTATGTGAGCAGAATCACAAAGTATTTGTTCTTTTGTAACTAACTTATTTCACTTGACATAATGTCTTCAAGATTCCCTTATGTTGTAGCATGTGGCAGGATTTCCTTGTATTTCAGACTGAGTGAGTCCATTATATGTACCTTATTTTATTTATCTATTCATCTGCTGATGGTCCAACGAGCTGTTTCTATGTTTTGGTTATTGTGAATAATGCTGCTATGACTATGGGTGTGCAAATATCTCTTCATGTCCCTCTTTCATTTTGGAGAAGTATATAACCAGAAGTGGAATTTCTGTATCACATGGTAATTCTATTTTAAATGTTTTGAGGAACCTACATACTGTTTTCCAAAGTAGCTGCACCATATTATATTCCAACCAAGGGTTCCAGTTTTTCCATCCATGACCAACACTTCCTCCTTGGGTTTTTAGTTACTTATTATTCATTCAGTAAACACTTGCATAGGGCCTGCCATATACTAGATGCTGGAAATACAGTGAGAAACAAGGCAGATTCTGCCTCTCCTTGAGAAACCCTCAATCTAACATGGAACAGGGACACTGCACAAATATTTATGGGAAAAGGGAAAGCAGTCAGAGCAATGAGGCACTTTATCCCAAAGCCTTACCAGCTTTTGGAGACTTGTTAGGCATGCTTAAAGAGCTCTAGGTTCTATGAACACATGACATTTTCTTTCTTGATGGTATTAACTCAGGTGACAAGGACAACTACTGAACAGATTCTAAGATGGGATACAGTGCATCGTTTAAAAATATGTTCAAACACATTTGTCTTTGTGAAAAACAGGGAACCTTTATTATGCTTAACCAGGGAAACTAACATGGTCTAAAGTCTGAAATCCTAGGAAAAGCAGCCACAAACTGGTGACCTGAAGGCCAGGTCTAGGTTTTCAAAGTTATCAATGAGTTGCCAACACTTAAAAATCAAGAAATTTTGCACAGGACTCTGAATTTCTGGCTTCCCTAGGGGAAAAAAATATCAGAAAACCTGGTAACACTAAAGCTATGGCAGGAACTGGCTGAGCTGACAGCTGTTCAGTTCATTTTAGAAATTTCATATCTTGCTATACTCCCCAGCTGGCCTTTCTCGCCACTTTTTCTTACTTATTTTTACCTCTATATGACTTTGATCTACAACTGTACTGTCCAGTATGGTACCAACCAGTCACATACGACTTCTGAACAAAAGAAATCAAGTCCGTAATTGAGATGTGCTACAAATGCAAAAAAAAATTGGCTTTTAACGACTTTATAGGAAAATAGCCCATTAATAGTTTTATATTGATTCCATTTTGAAATGGAATATTTTGGATGTACTGTGCTAAAGAAAATGTATTATCAAAATTAATGCACTTACTATTTTTTGTTTTAATGTTCACTGGAAAATTTTAAATGACACATTTGGGTCCTATCATGTTTCTTTAAGACAGTGCTGCTCTGGGGTCTCTTCCAGTAGAGAACATCTCTGGAAATTTTCTCCTTGAAGGGAATTGCCATTTGAATTGTGTCACATATGACCATGTATATAGTATTTATTAAGAAAACAATTCCAGTGGGTAAATACTGATCATTTACATAAGATGTTCACATAAAAAAAATCTGAAGCCATGGATCTTATGTCACTTTTTAAAAATGTGTTTGTATTAAGGTAAAGTGAGTTTACAATGGCCTTCTATCATCAAAAAACACATTAATGCCCCCCCAGTGGAGTACTAAAATAATACAATTAACCATTGCTCTTGGACTTTACTGTTACTCTAACATATACTTCATGTTTTCAGTTACCTGAGATACTTAATAAATTACAAGGTAAACTTTTCATAGTTATTTGTGTCACATGAAGCACCATGTAAACTCTTTTCATTATTCTTTTTGCAAAGGGCTTCAAAATTGCTAACATTTCATAGGGACTGTTAGTTTATGGTTCTATTTGGATAAAATACATTTTTAAAATCTTCCAACTTATTCAATTAAATAAGTGACTGCTAAAATTAATTTCCAGCAAAGTGGGACAAAGGACTATCCAAGTAGAGGGAAATCATTTTATTTGTTCTTCTTTTTGGGGGGGGCAAAGAAAACCAGTTACATTATTATCATTTTCTTAGCAAATAAGAAACACTAACATTAAGTGAAATTCTAATTTGGAAATGTGAAATGCACATATATGTTAGCTGAAAACATATACTTCCAGATCACATTCACTCAACACAACAAGGAAAATGAAGAGTTTAGGAAATTATGTGATCAATGCAGGTACTACTTAAAAAGTAAAACACAATTCTGAAGCAAAACTATATTTTGTGCTGCAATTTCCAGTTTGCAAGTTTTCACTAATCTAATTCACCTGGTAATTGCACAACCTTCCACTCTTCTTTACCAATGTAACTGTTAAGAAATTCCTGGGAATATTATCCACCTCCAATAGAGAACTACAGAGGTTATTTTTTCTTAGTCATTTCTTTTTGTTCTCCCTTTTTTTTTCTCTTCCATGAATTATTTCTACAGAAGGATGATTCTATATAGACTGTTTACTGAAGTAGTAGAGGACAAAATAAAAAAACATCCTCAGCCTCCACATCAATGCCTCATTCCACTGTGTGTTACACTCCCACTGGAATTGTTTCCACTTGGGTCATCAAACACAAAATGACCTGTATTATGAAATGGGCAAGAGGACAGATGCAATTACAGCACAGAATCAATGAGGTCCAGTTGTTAGCAGAAATCACACCCAGTGATGATAGAAAATATACAACTCATGAGCTTATCATACATTTGAAGAAATCTTTGCTATCACAAAATTCCTCCATTTTTCCAAGTATGCAATAAACATGGTATGGTAGGGAATACATTGCTAACAAGTCCCATGTACCCTTACAATACTTCAACTTTCCTATCTCTTTATTTATTTTTTCTACTATATATGCTAAAGTGTAGTTATGCTAATGTAGCCTCTGTCTCTGTTTAATTCAATTCATTGGTATTTCACAGGGACACTTATAATTCCGTTTCTCTCAGATTAAAGAAATGTTTTTAAAAAAATCATGATTAGCTTAACAGTAGTGATGTTACTGCCTTGCACGTGGCAGAAACAATGCCAGGTCTTCCTGTTCATTTCAAATAATAACATTTATATCTCATTAAATACGAGAAATATTTTAGACACCTCTAAAATCTAAATATCTACTAAATTTGAAGCTGAGAAGGAAGTAGTACATCCCTTTATGAACTCAACCATCAGATGAGCCAAATATTTTATGAAACACAAAACTGGCGACATAAATACAAGAAAACCTTTGCTCTTGGTTTCACAGCTACTTCCTCCAATTTGGCACTCAAAAAAGAGTCTTAGGATTTCTACCTTAAAGTTCTAAATATCTTGTTTTAATTTGTGCCACCATTAGCTCAACATCTGAGAATGTTTTTAGGGTTTAAGTTGGGCTAGAGGTTTTCTTGACAATACTATCAGGAAGTGGCTGCTATTAAGTCTGGACTTTATAAACCCTGATCTATAATGAATACCGACTTTAAGTAATAAGAAGTTACATGAACACGAAAGATTAAATGGAGCAAAATATCACTAATTTGATCAGTAGGGTATATGGATGAGTTTGGAAGAGTATAAATTACTAAGATATGAAAAATTCTGAATGTTTAGAGTCTTTGCCAGTCTAGGAGAGAAAGTGCTAGTGCATTGAAGTCCTAGAGAATTGCTCTAGTGCCCAGAGAATGATTGATAATATATAAATAAGCATATGGCCCTGCAAGAATAATGCTTATAATACTGTTAAGCCCATGCTGTTGCTCAGTAAATAAAATGAAATTATCAGTAAATGAAATGAAAGAATCAAAGTTCCTATGACGTGGTACTCACTAAAGCATGGCAACACTCCTGACCAAAAAGAAAAGAACAACAACAAAAGTACAGGACTCAAGTTCAAATCTTCAATTTACTTCCTTAGATACATGACTTGAGTCACTAATACCATAAGCTTCAGATTTCTCATTGGTAAAATACAGATGAAATCATCTACCTCACAGGCTACTTGTGACATGAAGTAAGGTGTCACATAGGAGGTGCTTAGCACTTGGAGGCACCAGTTATGTTGCTCCTTTTACAGGTCTGTTTTGACCATACTACTTATTTCTAATTTGATTATAAATAAAGAAATGAAATTTAATGCCAAGTTCTCACTTAAATTATCAATTCCAAATTGTGTGTGCATTAATGAGATTTCACTGCACTAATAATAACAGCAAGTGCCAAAAGGGTAAGTATATTTTCTCAATATATATGAATACTAATATAACTTAATATATTAACATTAAGCCACTTAATATTTTTCCAATATATTTATAGTCATGCTTTCAGGCAATATTTAGAAATATTTTACTACATCCTAGCTATGTATCTTTATTCTCCTACCACTCTACACATACATAGTTTTCTTTTAATGTGGAGGCAAATCTCTAGGCTTTCTTATAAACAGGTACAGACACAGAAAAAGCTATTCTAATATCAAAAAAAACAAAACAAAACTGTGAAACACATGAGTATGGAAGTCTCAGGGCTTTTTCAGTAGGCACAATTCCATGATCATGTGAAAATTCCAGATTTAATAGAAGCATCTCAAATTTGAACCACGGGCTACTACAGCAATTATATTTCCAAGAAAATTGTTAAAGACAAGGCAAATACTTTTTTTTTTTATCAATAAGCTCAGGCTTTTTTGATCAATAAGCTCAGAATTGCTTCTCATTTATTACTATTTACAATTGCTATACATTTTAGAAATATATTTTAAAAATAGGGAAACAATATGAGAATTTGATTTCTAGCAATCTAGGATATATCTTTAAATATAAGTGTGTATATATACATGCATGGATCATGATACATACACAAAGATATACATACTTGTATGCACACATTTGCTCTGTGATATATATTACTATCAAACATATATGTATACATAAATACTTTCGATCCATGATATAAATGTATATTAACATTTAAATATATAGTACAATTTTAAATATTGTGCACACATACAAATAGATCTCTTCATAGGCTGAGAGTATCACATTTCAGGGGCAGCTATCACATCAGGATCCCAGATTCCTCTTCCACTTTGGTCCACATTTGAGACTAATGATAGTGCTCTTTATCTGACTTAGCTTCAAGTTTCCACAGTGTCTCAATTCCACTTGTTACTCAATCTGCAGTCAGTTAAACTACACTTAAACTAAAGGTGTATTTGAAAATATGGTCAGGCATCAATCATGGTCATAAGTTGACACACTGTACTCTGAAACCTGTGCCTCTACCATACCCTCACTTTAATATTAGCATAGAGACCCCAATACAAACACATCGTCAAATTCTTGCAATATCTTGGACACCTCTTACAATATCTTAAATAAATCAACTGTTAAAATGTTTAAGAAAACACTTACCATGAAATTTAAAATGAATGGCCAGTCCCACAAATGTATCTCAGATGTACCAGAGAGAATTAACCATGTGACTTGGTTTTTCAACATAGACATATGTGGCATTTGTTGACCTTTCACTTGAAACACAGAATTTTGTTGAATCCTTTGAGTAGTGAATCAAAGCTGTGCCTTAGGTTAAGTAATGCTCGAAAAGTTTTCAAAAAAAAATTACCAGGCTTGATTGCTGAAATAGAAAATTTCCATTTGGCTACAAAAGGTCCCTGTAGATTCCTAATACTGGCATGGGGAAAATGAGTCTATTTCTGAGTTAAAATTTCAAGTGGCCATTCATTCTGCTAGCATTCTGCCTTCATTCCAGCATGTCATTAGGTACAAATTTTTGAAAATCACATAACAATTTACTTGTTGAGTAATAGAAAAGAAAAACTTCATTTCAATCTCAAGGGTTAGGCCATAATCAATTGGCTGTCATTTAGTATATCTTAAATTCTATTGATAAGAAGCAACCCAGCATACGAATCTCAAAACTGAACTAAAAGTTACAGACACACAGCCTTACTCTATTTTGTAATGAACACAAATATACATGTACATCTGTAATATTCAACTTGGAGAGATAATAACATTGCAAAATCCCTAATGATAAACATATCTCAGGGTAATTTAAATAAAAAGACAAAGTGCACGTTTTACATCTTTCAGGTCCTCAATTATGAATGTGATTTTCTCAAGCTAATTTTCATAAAAGTCCCTTGTGACCCAAATGGCTATTTCTGCCTGACACTCACTTCTCCCCTCTCCCCTGTTAACACTAAGAGAACTGTCATGCACTACTGATAACCATTTTCTTTCTTGGTGCTTTACTGAATTTCTAAATAAAAGTTTTAATCTTTTTTTCTTAACTAAAATCAGTACTTGGCTTCTCATGAACAATGCTGCCTCTATTCTATTAAACTGAGGGTAGAGTTTTTATTGCTAAGACTTTCCTCATCTTTGAGTCTCTCTCCTGGAATTTTCTTATTAACATTGCCTTTCCCAGTATTTAGTGATAACTGCACTTTCCAGAGGGTTATTAAGAGTAAATTCATTAGAAAGTTCATATTTCAATTGCCAAGTAACCCAATGATCTAAAGATCAAAAGGAGTACCAGAATCCACTCTAGTGGATTAACCTTTCTGGAACTCAAAATATAAAATAAACAGGACCCACCACAAAATATCCTACCTGGAATGCAGACAGAGCATCCGTTTCAAAAACTTCTTGTGGAATTCCAGGTTGTAGGAGAGTAGTGAACACTAAGAGATGTTCTTGACCCTTCGATTTCACTTGCAAGTTTAATGTAGACATAGCCTTAAAGACTGCTTTTTCTTGCTTATGCTAATTTTTTAAAGAACAGATTCTACTGTTGGTATACTGCCCACCTTTTTATTGATTACCTGTACTTAAATTCTATCATCTATCTTATGTTTGTAGATCCCCAACTGTTCACCCCAGAGCTTTTCATCCAGTGGAATCTTAACTCTGCTATCTCTGCAGTATCTTCTCTGTGACAGGTCCTCAGGAATTCAAATGTAACTTGACCAAGACTGTTGTCTACGACTTATCAGGACTTTCCTTTGGTGCTGCTCAGTCCTGTCATCTGACTCTCACCTTCTGTCATCTCTCTCTAACTCTACTCTCATTGATTTGTCCTTTCTGGACGCTTCAATCTTATTGAACACATATTTTCATGGAAGCTTCAACAACATTCTTAAATAACATTCTTTGGAAACTATACAAAAGAGAAGGGTCCGGTTTTTGATTCCATTGGTTGGTGCTAGCACCCTAGTGATACAAAGTCATAGCAACACCATGTTTAACTGGCAGGTTGAAATGCCTTATGGGTGTTACTGCCCAAATCACACTGAACTAGAGGAAAAAAAGGTTTGACCCTGCAACAGAAACAAGGCAATTTGGCCTCACACTCTTCATTTGATATTTATAAATAAAACTGAAATTATAAGGTAATATTCAACTGAACAATGAACACCTCCCCCCAGTTTTATGAGGTATTACTGACATAGAACATTGTATAAGTTTAGGTATATAACATAATGAATTGACATATGTATATATGGTGAAATGCTTACCAGTGAGTTTAGTTGACATCCATGACCTCACAGTTACATATTCTTTTTCCTTATGAGCAGAACTTTTGAGATCTGCTCTTTAAGCAACTTGTCAAATGCACAGTATAGTGTTAATAAATATATAGTCACCATCTGTATGTTACAGCCAAGAACTTACTCATCTTATAACTGAAAATTGGTACCATCGGCCACTCTCACCCATTTCTCTCACCCAGCACTATACAACTTTATACAGACACCATTTAAACACCTTGGGTGGTACATTCCAGAGAAAATAGCACCCACAGAGCAGAGTGAACCAAGGACTCAAGCACCTCAAGAAGTAGGTGAATAGAAGCAAAATAGGCAGAAAATGTACAAACTTTGGGAATTATTACTGTTAATGATTCAAAATATACATGTTCTGTTGAAACAGTGAGAGAAGTCTTATGACAGCATGATATTCCAGGAAGGTTTTGAGGAAAGGATAAAGTATGTTGTGTATGTGAACCTAGATCAGAAGGGAGTTAGCACTGCAAAACAAGAAAAATACATAAATGCCTTACTGATAGAAACTGATTCTTACTTCATGAGTGGTAAATTCACTTTAAACTTGTGAGAATTAGATTCACTTTACATACTTATAATTCTTTTTTTTTAAAAAAAGATTTATTTATACAAGCACTGGGGTACTGGCCAGAGGCACGGGAGGGTGAGAAAATCCACCAGAGACAGAGCTGGGAGCAGAACAGGCAGAAGGACCAAAATACACTGCTGAAGGAAGCAGTGGGCGAGACAGGAAAGGTCTGACAGGAGAGGTCTGCCATGCCATATGGGAATCTCCCTGGCCGGCCAGGAATCGAACCAGTGCCGCAGAGGTTGCGGACAGCTTCACAGAGCTGCACTCAACCCTCTGCGCCACCAGGGAGGCCCATATACTTATAATTCTTTATATTCTTATGGAAATCCTTAAGTGTGGTAAGGATCTTAGAATGCATTTATTCCAATCCTCTTATTTCACAAGCAAGGGAACAGAAAAAGATTAGGAAACTCCCTCACCAAACCATAAAGTTAGGAGGGAGCAGCAGTGAGGTTAGAATTCTATCTGGGTAACCACCTCCTTTTCTTATCTCAATTGTGACATTCCTGCCCTCTCTTTCCATTCCATGTTTGATTCAGTCCAGCTCTTTGTCTTTGAAATTTTAGGGGGTTTTGGGCCTTATTTTGATTTTAGATCTGGTGCCACTTCCTGACTCATGAAAGTGGTGGCTGGGTATAGTCAGATACCTGGTGCAGCTTGTGTTAAGGGCTCTATAGATTATGTGGTTTTGTTGCAGTTATTGTTTTATTTCTGTTTTTCACTGAAATTATATTTTATTATATTATATGTTTCAGGTGTGTATCATTGAAAATCTGTGTGTATGTGTATACAACATCAAGTTAATCTAATTCTCTCTTTCACCAAACAATTGTTCTCTTATTCTGATTTACTGACACCTTTCTCTCCCCTTCTGGTAACTACTAAATTGGTCTTATAATCTAAATGCTTATTTTGTTTTATTTAGCTCATTTGTTTGTTCTCTCTATATGCCACCTATGACTGAAACCATACAGTGTTTGTCTTTCCCATCTGGCTTATTTCACTAAGCATAATACTTGGTCCATTCACGTTGTTGCATATGGCCATACCTCATTTTTTTTAAAACTCTGAATAATATTAAAATCATTGTGGTGGTATCTACTTATACCACACATTATTTATTTATTCATCATTTAATAGGTACTTAAGTTGCTTATAGTTCTTAGCTATCATTAATAATGCTACCATAAACTTGGAGTGCATATATCTCTTTGATTACTGTTTCTGCATTTTTCAAGTAAATACCCAGAAATGGGCAAACTGGGTCAAATTGAATTTCTATGTTCAATTTCTTGAGGAATCACCACATTGCTTTCCACAGTGGCTGCACCATTTAACATTCCAACTATTAGTGTACAAGGGTTCTCTTCTCTCCATATCCTCTCCAACACCAGTTGTTTTAGAGAATGCCATTTTCAAACATTGTTGCTTTGATTTGCATTTCCCTGATATAAGTGATGATGAACATTTTTCTATGTGCCTTTTGATCATTTGTATATCTTCTTTGGAAAAGTGCCTATTCTTATCCATTGCCCACTTTGTAATCAGTTGCTTGCCGTTTTATTGTTGAGTTCTATGAATCCTTTTTGTACTTTAGATACCAACCCTTTGTCAGATGTGTGATGTGCAATATGGGTTCCTTTTTGTAGTGGTATATGTAACTTTTGCTGTGCAGTAGCCTTTTAGTTTGATGTAATCCCATTTGTTTAGTTTTGCTTTTATTTCCCTTTCCATTGGAATCAAGTTCCTATACATATCACCATGGCTGTTGTATACTGCTTATATTTTCTTCTTTAATTCATCTTTCTGAATTCTGATTTTATCATCTGAATAGATCCCTACTGCCCCCATCTTTGTACTTCTCTTGCTTAGTATACAGTCTGATCTATTACTTTAGTCATATTTGACATAAAATCATGGAGACTGACTTAATTATCTCGTTTTTTGTTTGTTTGCTTTTTTACCCCAATGGAAACTTCTCTCTGCACAGTAAATACTCCTTTTCTTATGAAGGCTACTCCCCCTTCCCCTTTAATATTATTATTATTATTATTAGGCACAGGTAGTTCACTTAGAACAGGTGAACTTCCTCTCCCCACATGCTACCCCCATGGGACTGCTACACTGTATCATCTTCAGTATTTAATAAATCAGTTTCCATTTCATTCAGTTCCTTGAATTGTTTATCATGTTTCCTCTTCGGTATCAAACTGACTTTCTCTTTTTTGTTTCAAGGCTTTGAATTTAAGTCTCTGCATTTATTCTTCACTTATGAATCATCTTTCATTTGAGTCAAAGTCCTTCCTAATGCTTCCCTCCCTATTCCTTTCCACTATTAACTTTGTGTGGTTATATTTGGATAACGTTTCTACTTTGTTGGTGATGTTGGCTGTTTGGGTAGGGGTTTACCTTTCACTTGATTGTTCCATCATCTTCTGCAACTTTTACATAAGATAAATATGTTCTCAGTTTCAGTAGATAGGGGCATAATTTTTTAAGTTATCCTTCTAGGAAGAGAAACAGAGTGAACACAGGTATGCTGATGACTAGGATATGACCTCAGCTCAGATGTCCATATACAGGGTGGGGCTAGATGTGGCTACATGGGCAGCTTCTTCTTCTATCCTCCCAGTGGCCCAGGTTAGTGTGCTGGGCCATGTGCTGCAGCTCACTGTGGTAACGTGGGGTTCTCTGACAGCATCTCCCTATCCCAAACATAACTGATGACTCCCTCCTTTGAGCCACCACTGAAACTTGTTTGTGATCCTATTAGCATGCTCCAATTACTTGCAACCACAGTTTCCTCTATCCAACTCTGAGCTCCTTGTGTGTCTGATTTGTATTTGGATCCTCAGAGATGGGATTTACCAAGCCCTGAAGGGGCTGCTTTCCTATCAACTCTGTGCATAATTTCCATTTTGCAATACTATATTAGTAAATACACAGTGTGAGAAAGTACTAAGGAAGTCAGAACCTCCAGGGCTTACATTTTCACAGACCAAACTGTACTTTAGAAGATTTGTGCCACATAACCACTATGATTAGAGAATACTGGAAATATTTTATAAGTGTCAGTTGGCTGAGCAAGGGGCAGGAAGAAAGTCTGTGAGCTAACGCAGTAATTTCTCTCTTTCTACCTCCAACAGGTAAGCCAATCAATTACAGGCCTACCGATGAGCACCAAGAAAATCACACCTGCACCTTGAGTCCTGTGTGATAGGTCACACCTATCTAGCTCACAACTCAACTCCACTGAGGCTGAACTCCAAGAGAAAAGCAAGATTAGCAAAGAAGCAGCCACGAGAAACTTCCATGTGGTGGTAAGGAAGGAACCAGCTAGGGATTCAGTTGCTTGGTTGAGGGGAAAATTTTTTAAAAATGTCAACATACCACTTATTTAATAAAAGTTAGTTTTGACCCTCATTACTCACCCTAGCTCATCCTTTCCCCATCACCAAACTGGCATTTAGTTCTTCTCCATCACCGTGTTCCACTGACTTTTCTAGCAATGTGATTTGTCCAATCATTCTCTTGAGATACTGGAGGTTGACTTTTTTTTTAAAGATTTTTTTTTTTAAAGATTTATTTATTTATTTATTTTTACAAGCACTGGGTACAGTCAGAAGTGTGGGAGGATGAGAGGATTCACCAGAGCCAGAGCAGGGAGCAGAACAGGCAGAAAGACCAAGGTACACTGCTGAGGGGAGCAGCAGGCGCGGCAGGAGAGGTCTGCGTGCCATGTGGGACCCTCGCAGGGGATCAAACTGGTGCTGCAAAGGCTGTGGGCAGCTTCGCAACCCAGCGCTCAACCGCTGCGCCACCGGGGAAGCCCTGGAGGTTGACTTTATCCCTTTCTATCAAGTACTGAATTTTTTAGGTGCTCAGTGAATGTTTGGTGAATGAATGAATATTAAGCACCATAACAACAAACACTTAAGAGAAAACTTCGTAACTCATTTAATCCTCCTTAACACAGACACTGCTGTCTCCCCCACTTTATGAATGAGGAAAATAAAACACAGATAAATTTAAATAACTCAAAACAAGAAAGCTGAGCTGTCTAGCTCTGTGTGTTCCTATGCTGTATCTTTGTTGTGCATATTTTAAGTAAAACTAATAATTATTCAAACCAAATGATTCATCCTGTCCCAAAAGGAAATAAATGTGTCATTGTGGCTGAGAAGAAAACTACTCAAATAATGCTGAAATTAACAAAGCTTTCTAGAGTTTGTGTTACAACATATGAAAAAAAAATACCGGTGACAGGCTTGTGACAGCAGAATTGTGTTCTCTCCTGCGTGGAACAAGCTGCAGACCTGCTATGTTTGTGTCTTTTTATTTGATTTTATTTTTATTATAGTATTAGCACTCTAAATTTTGAAATGTCATTTAAAATATTTAAATAATTTGTGTTATCACTGATTTGCATAAAGCTTAATGATACCTATGAAAATGAAGTCATATTTTGAAATATTTGAGAACATGTGTTAATAATTTAAGCTATCAAACAATTTACATCTAATGCCATATTTTCTGAAGAACCATATGAACCTATTTATTTTTTTTGTCTGAATGAAGCAACTTTAAAGCAATTCATATTTCCCTAAAGGAGTTATTTTTTCCTAAGCATAAAGAAATAAAGTTCCCATGTGTCATTATATCTAAAATGCAGTTGAAAAAATAGCATTTCCATATTTCAAAAAGTATTAATTACAGTAATGGCTCTTGAGCTTCTCTGATAAATTTCCACAATAAGAAATACATATTCTACAACATATTCATACCTATACTCACAAGAATAAAAAATGTGTTTTGCAAAATATTTAACTTTATAACACATGATACACTGGTATTTCCACGTTATTTCATTACATTGAAAAAAATAATTGGTTTTAATTCACTGACCTACTGGTGGGTTATTAATGGTTCAGGATCTGTAGATTTTCAAGATGAGAGAAGTGGTCTGGAGTTCAGACTTTCTCAGATTCTGGTAAAGGCAGGTTACTTACACAAACTCACTAGTCATAAGCAGGGCAGGCACAGAAAAACTGTCACCTCAGGCAGCCAAGAAAGGCACCAAGTCAGTGTGGGGGAGCACTTTCTCCATTTTCTCAGGACAGTGGCCTCCTCATTAATTACTTTGCAAATTACTCATTAAGACTTGGCTTTGTAAAGTTAGTCCTTGATCCAGTTATTGCTGCCAGATTTCCTGTTTACACTGAACTCAGTGTGTTAGGTTATTGTCCCCACTGAAAAGTACTTCTGACAAGGAAGAAAGGTGAATCAAAGCAAGAAACCAGATTCCTAGCATCACGGTGTACTCTGGAGAAGACTTAGGGAACATTACACGTAGACGATCTTCAGTACAATACTGCATTGTACATTTAAAACTCTTTTAAGAGGGTAAGGTCTCATGCTCTTATACAAGTGCAAAAAAACAAATGTTGCAAATCCAGTAAGAAAGTTTTCTGGGAAGGAAAACATGCAAATGACTTAGTTTCTTTCTCTTTCCCATCCTTATATTATCTCTCAAAGGATTAAATACCAATTTTTCTGCTGATCATGTTTTTTTGGTTTTTTTTTTGTAAAGAGGTTACCTATTATATGTAGGTTACTGGGTTTCACCTCAGATAAAGTAAAGCTTTTTGGCTCATACCAAACAGCCTTTTCTAACCTATCACAAGGTCACAATTTACGATGGTTCAGAGATATCTATACTAGAGTCATGTGATGCAGCCATTAAAACCAAGAGGAACCAAATAGAGGGAAAAGTACAAGGTACGATGGTGATGGTTCACAGGTGATGTGGTGGTGGGAGATTTGTGGGGACTACATATAAGCAGAGAATTCAAATATTACACAAACAATGATGTAAGAAAATAAAAAATAAAACAAAATAAATAAAACCAAAAGGAACCAAGCTCTGATCCTGCCATCACACCTATATATATATATATATATATATATTTCCAAACCACTAGGGGAACTTATGTCTAGCAAAAATTTGCCCTAATAAGTCTATTTTTCCTCTTGATTGGTTCTCTAAGAACATGAAAACAACTCTGAACCTAACGTAACCCAGGATTTAATTTTATATGCTTTAGTTTGTTCATTAACTGTTTTTCTATGTTCATTTCCTACCTTCAATGACCTTACTCTTTGTCTTGTATTTTTCTTATATCATCTTCTGCTTCCCTTAGGTAATGGCACCTACCTGACACTTATGGTCCTAACAGCTGATTTCTGGGCCTACCTTGGGAGAGTTAGTGGTGAGTGGAATCTAGGATGGGAACAAATTCTGAGTTCTTGAGGTCCATGGAATCTGACATTCTTCTAGAATTTTATATGAGCATAAAAGTTCTCTTGTTCAAAGTTTTTTTTTTAATTGTATTAAACAATTGTATTGTTTTAGCTGTGTACCATTATAAATCAACATCTGTAAATACTACATTATATTTACCACTAAAAGTCCAAATCTAATGGGTGCCTGGAGGAAGATGTGAGGTAAATAATGTCATCTGAAGAGGTGTGAACCTGTACCTCTGTATCACAAACAGTGACACAAAATTAAAAAAACTACAAAACACACACATAAAAAGTCCAAATCTGTCCTTTACCATTGACCCTTTCACCAGACATCCCTACAGCTCTTCCCCTTCACTTCTGAAAACTACTGTTCATTTCTTATAGTTTAAAGGTTGTCTTTAATCCTTGTAGAAAGCAGTTGTCTGCAATATTGTAATATCAAGTTCATGTAGCAGGCCACAGTATATTTGTGGAAAAGTGCCTGCTAAAGATTATTTGAAAGAGATTATAATGTTACGAACCTTTTAAGTTATTGTTAGTAAATAGTATGTTATTTTGTACCAACTAATTTTAAATACCTTAGGATTTGATGTTGGTCTAACCACAAAACCAACTTCTCAGCCTTCCAAAATCTCATAATCTTCACATTGGTGTTTTGTGACACATTTTCATGCAAAGGAAATCAAACTGGGTGTCTCCTTTTAGATATTAAGAGTAGAAGCATTTATTTGTCATATAGGTTCAAAATGCAACACATTTATGTAGCTGAAAAGTTACTATATAAAGTCATCCTTTCCCATATCTTATGTTCTAAACCATCAACTAGTATAAAAACAGAACACACCCGTAAAGATAACCTGAGTGATTTATTTAGTTCTAAATTTTCTGACACTCTTGCTTGAATAAATTTTCTTCACTGGCAAGAAGACAATAAACCAAATATAGACATATGGGGGTGTAGAAAAAGAATCCAATGTTTTTCCTAGTGACTGGATTTGACTATAATATTTCTAATTATAGAGTCATGGACAGGGCTGTTTTCAGGCTGGAATGCAAAATTAGTGAGAAGAGATCATTTCCTGGGGAGAGTTGGATCGTCTCCTAACATTTCATTAATCTTTTTTTTCCCTATCAAGACATAAAATGTGGATGTCTTTTAGTTTAATGATACAACTTTCCAGATTATGAAATTAAAAAAGCAGAAATATAGCTCAATATTGATAAGCCAGCATGTTCTAGCTGATTACAGCATCTTCCTTGGTGAATTTTTTGAATCATTAGGATGCTATTTAAACACACATACACACATCCCAAAATCATTTTGTGAGGTTTATCTCCCTTTCACTGCAGATCTCATTAAGATATAATCAAAAGTCATATATGATAAAATGATCATATCCCATTAGCACAGCAGATAAGTTGTGTCCTCTAAGTGTCTTTGCCTGACCAACAATAATCACGTTGGAGGATTCATGCTTTCAAGTTCTTGCTCTGACCTACTGAATTGTCTCTCCCTCTCCCCCCCACTGAACCACCAATTTGTCACTTCATCTAAATGACTTACCTATAATACCTAGGTTCCTACCTGGACTAGCTAAATGGCATTGCAATGGGAATCTAATTTTCAAACCTAGAGCCTTATGGTTTTACAATGCAGTGCCAAAAGGGAATAGAGGCTGCCCTCACAGGGGAAGCTGTGGCTCAGCAATGGGTCTGCAGGTCAGTCAGTTTCTCACACATCAGAGAGATTTTAAAAAGCTGTTTCAATAGACTTTTCTGGATATGGGGGAGGTTTATAGAAGAAGGAACCCTTCTTCCTAGCCATCTGCAGCACTAGAGTCCATGTTGTTGCTTTCAACTTTTTCTGAATAACATTTGTTTAAAAACACTCTGACCCAGGCAATGGAAAACATTTGTGATAGTTTATAGACAACTTAAAAATACTAAAACACGGGCCTCCACTGTCTTCCATCATCATTCCAGGCTGAGAGACCAAACTGCCTCACATAAAACACAGCTAAATTAGTCAGAAACTTCTGGCTTTATTTTTGTAACAAGGGCCTACTATGTTTTACGTGCAGCTCAGAGCACTTTACATGATTTCTGCTAACCCCCCGCACTGTCATTTCCATTTTGCAGATGAAAAAAATCTAAAAACCTACTATGTGTCAGGTCCTGGTGCTGGCATTGAGATTAGATATAATTTACAGGGGCAAGGGTCTAGTGTTATCTGATCCTGGTTATACTGCCCAGAAGAGAAATCTCTTTACAGTGTGATTTCCTACCTCTTCATTTCTGTTCACGAGATTTCATAAATCCAAGGACCAACTCTAGGGAATGGACGGCAATGAGGAACAAATCTAGATTTGACCAGTGTTGCATTCACGTTGTTCAACTGCATTCCCCAAATCAAATGCCTTCAATGGTGACCGTGGTCGAGAGGGTCTGCCTCTCCTCATCCACTGAACAGAGATTTCACAAAGTCAACTCAGAGCAGGTACATTGTGAAGTAAGAGAGATGGGGAGAAGTATTATTGGTAAAAAGCAGGAAAAGTTAATTTAAAAACTACTGGATGTTTATGTATTTTCCTGTTGGAATCAAATAGACTGATAGCTGACTAGGAAAACAAAAATTGTTCTCTAAAAATAAACAAAAAATTTGTAAGGTAGCAGATCTGAATAGACAGTTCACCAAAGAGGATATACAGAAAGCCAACAGATAATGGGAAAAAATACATAAAATAAATCATAGCAAAGGGATGGTTTATAACTATCCTATAAAGTTTATTAGGAAAGTGAAGATATACCATATACAACATAAATTAAGTCAAAATCTTTGGACAAGGGACCATTAATAGACTGATTCCAGATTAAGCTGGATAAGGGTCCTTGCACTTATAGTTTCTAAAGAGCTCAATATTTTAAAAAAGTGTAAGGTAGAAGATCTGAACAGACAATTCACCGAAGAGGATATACAGAAGGCCAACAGATAATGGGAAAATATTCATCAATGCTTTTAATAAGGGAGATGCAGGTTATAAACCACATGAGCACAATGAGATACTATCTCGTTCCTGAGAATGGCATATGTTAAAATAAGATACTCAACAACAAAGATAAAGAGGATGTGGGAAAGAGAAACCCTATTACACTATTGGCGGGAATATGAACTGTTGTAGCCATTTTGGAAGGAAATCTGTATTTATCTTAAAAAACTAAAAATGGAAATACCAAATAAGCCAGAAACCCGATTCTCAGGCATCTGTCTAAGCAACACAAAACGAAACATCAACTCAAACACCTGTATGCTCTGCAATGTTTATTAAGCACAGTTTACCATAGTTAGGGCATGGAAGCAGCCTAAATATTCATCCATAGAAGACTGGGTCAACAGCACCTGGTATAGCTACATTATGAAACACTATTCAGCCATAAGGAAAGTTGAAATATCATCAGCAAAATGGAGAGTTCAAAGGAATTATGTGCAGTAAAGCAAGTGAGAACAACAAAGATAAATATCGGACATTTACATAGTGGATAATCCACAAAGTAAAATACAAACAAAAACTATAGGACATTAGTAAATGAAGTGAGATTTCTGAGAGTAAGAGGGAGAAGGAAGGAGAAAGGATCAAAGGAGATACAGGATTTGGTGGTAGGGGGGAAAACAAAAAGCTTATGTTTCATTTTAGAATTTTACCAATTTCGGGCCTCCACGGTGGCACAGCAGGTTGAGCATCGCGCTGTGAAGCTGTCCACAGACTCTGCAGTGTGGGTTTGATTCCCCGCCAGCCAGGGAGAGTCCCACATGGTGCAGCAGACCTCTCCTGACTCTCCCGCTGCTCCCCTCAGCAGTGTATTTCGTCATTCTGCCTGTTCTGCTCCCTGCTCTGTCTCCGGTGAGGTGAATCCTCTCACCCTCCCACACCTAATGGCACCTCAGTTCTTGTATAAATAAATAAATCTTAAAAAAAAAAAAAAAAAAAGAAGGGCATCCCCTGGTGGTGCAACGGTTGAACACTAGGCTGCGAAGCTGCCCGCAACCTCTGCAGCGCCAGTTCGATCCCCCGCCACCCGCGAGGGTCCCACATGGTGCGCGGACCTCTTCTGCCACCCCCACCACTCCCCTCAGCAGTGTATTTCGTAAGTCTGCCTGTTCTGTTCCCCACTCTGGCTCTGGTGAATTCTCTCACCCTCCCACGCTTCTGACTGTACCCAGTGCTTGTATAAATAAATAAATAAATCTTAAAAAAAAAAAAAAAAAAAAAAGGGCCTCCCTGGTGGTGCAGGCTGTTGAGCGCAGTACTGTGAAGCTGTCCACAGCCTCGGCAGCGCCAGTTTGATCCCCCCCGGCCTCAAAGCAACCCACATAGCACAGCAGACCTCTCCTGTCTCGCCCGCAGTGTATTTCTCAGTCTGCCTGTTCTGTTCCCCACTCTGTCTCTGGTGAATCCTCTCATGCTCCCGCACATCTGGCCTGTACCCTGGCTCTTGTATAAATAAAAAATAAATCCTTTTTTTTTTAAAAAGGGGGGCCTCCCCGGTGGCGCAGCAGTTGAGCGCTGGGTTGTGAAGCTGCCCGCAGACTCTGCAGCGCCAGTTCGATCTCCTGCCACCGGGCAAGGGTCCCACATGGCACGCAGACCTCTACTGCCGCCCGCTGCTCCCCTCAGCAGTGTACTTTAGTCCTTCTGTCTGTTCTGCTCCCTGCTCTGGCTCTGGTGAATTCTCTCACCCTCCCGTGCTTCTGACTGTACCTAGTGCTTGTATAAATAAATAAATAAACCTTTAAATAAAAAAATAAAAAGAATTTTGCCAATTTCTTTTTAGTAATAAGCCAGAAGCTATCTTTAACTTAAACCCATTTTAATAATAATTAGAACCAATAAATTTCAGGGTCCTGAATTAAATGTTGTCAATCCTCTCTTACTATTTTTAAAAGAATAGCACTTTTAAAGTGCTCTTTTTAAAAACAAAGAAAATAATCCAGTCAAAAAAATGGGCAGAAGAGCTAAAAAAGAATCTTCTCCAAAGAGGA